TTCCTGGAGCCTCTCATGCTGGAAGTAGAGCTCTGAGAGGCACATGTCCCCCTTGCGTCCCCTCCAAAACAACAGGCCAAGCCCACCTAGGAGGGAGGATGATCAACAGTCAAGCACTGCAAACAGTGAAAAGAACAAGCAGAAGGTCTTGATTTGCTTTGAAGGGGGTCAGAGTGCATTTTGGTGATGAAAAGGGAAGTGTTGCTTGTGGTAGCTCATAAATACAGCACTCAGCTTCTTGCACCCTCCCAGCAGACCTAAATGCTGGGCGTTTAAAACTTCTTTTTAAAACTGTTGTATCTATGGCTGAAATCATAATATTTATGCAGGGTAGTTTTTCAAGAAGCATGCTGGCTTTTCCCCTTTCATGGAAGTAAGCTGAAGGTCAGATTTACAATGTTTCAAGCCACATTCTGTGCTCATTTACACAGCTGTAATCTTGAGTTATGCCACCGAGGACGAGGAATAGCTCCAGACTTACAGGGATAAAACTGACAGAGGAATTTAGCTCTGGGTTACCAAAGCAAAATAGATAGAAAGAGAGCTGTGAGTGTAAAACGTGGTGTTCTTGAAGTAGCTTTTGTATATTCAAGGAATGCAAGAGCTCAAAGATTTATTAGTAGTGTTTCAGAGCATTATTGAAATTAGGCTTAATTATCTGTGTAATTTGCTGGAACCAGCATTTTAAACATTTTTGATCAAGTAGATGCCATTAATTATAAAAAGAGATGTACCAGGCTGCTTTCAAAAYRCRAAGYAAAAAAAAATAATAATAAAAAGGAAAGTCCATAATTTCTAAGCTGCCTGTTTCAAAGGCTTTGAAGGTTGTTGTTGCTTGCTTCCCTCTTCCCCCTTCACAAACACTCTCTTTGCAGTTTATTCATATGGAAGAAAGTTCACATCATCCCAGAGGGTCATTCCAGCAAGCAGGGAAAGGAAGCTGAACCCTGTTCCCAGGCTTGCTGAATTTTGCCATCCCTCTCTCTTCTGTCCTTGCTGCGGCCACATAAACAGAGGCTGGAAGGCGTGTTGACCTTCCTTGGAGGAAGGAGCAGAAGACACAGAGCTGCGAGCAATAACCCACCCACTCCTTTGCAGCCTGCAGGCAGCGAGAGCACAGGGCTCCTGCTCATGCCGCTAACCCATCCTTGCTGTTCAGACCTACTCTGCAGGTACCTTTCAGCCCACATACGTGAGCTACATGGCTGTTYCTGTGTCATCTGACAGCCCTCCATCAAGGTGCCTCCCAGCACCATTTTTGCTTTATTGTTGTGAATACAGCAACCACACCAAGACAAAGCAGACCTTGCTTTCTGTTGATTTCAGTGGAAACTTTGGACAAAACCATTTGTCATCTACTAAATAGCAATAGCAATGCTTTCCTCCTTCCAAATGAGTATTTCAAGGATACAGTCATTAATACTTATGAATGGATCGAAGACTTGGTGAGGAGGGCCACAGGAACACCAATGCAGTCAGGTTATTGACTCTCATTTTGCCAGTGTTCTGTCCAAACAAGCTCTTGTGTTCAGGACAGTTGCTGCATGTCAGCTTTCTGCTTTCAACTCTTCTTTATCTCAGATTTTCTCTTCCTTTCTTCCCTATATACCTTCCAGCCAGCCCCTCTGTGCAGACTACCAGCAATAGCAGAGTGGCCAGCATGCCCTTTCACGGGGCAGGCAGCACCAAGGGGCTTGCTGTTATTGAAACACTGCCTGCGGAGGTTGAGCAGCTGTGCAGCACCCGCACAGGCCTTCCCCATCAGTACTTAACTTTTGCTGGAGCAAAGGCAGCCGCCTCGGTAAGACCACAGCTAATTACCTCTGCAGCCCAGCCAGTCCAGCAGTCAGCAGTATTCTCACTTGCAGCTTCTGGCTCTGCGGGGCTGATTTGAGAGTAACTAATTAAACACAGGTGCAGGCTAGGAGACTTGTTGAATTAATGCAGTGTCTTCTTTTCAGGCATTTGTAGCTCATGAAAAAAGAGCAAGTGCCTGATGCTACAAATAATCACAGAGTGCCAGCGACAGAGGTAATTAATCCTTTATTATTCTGGTGTGATAGGCTGCTGCTAGGGCTGTCACTCAGCTACATTTAACACCAAAATGTGTCTCAAAGGTGAAAGAACACGGAGTAAGTGAAGGCCTGGATAATATTTTAGTGAATTCTCTGGTGTTTGCTGTTACGGGAACAGATATATTTTCAGTTTTTTGGCAAGATTGTCAGGAGCTGGTAGTTAAAACTCAAGACTGGACATTCAGACTCCCTGTTATGTTTTGAGCTCTGTCTCTGACTCACTAAGGCAGCATTAGCAGGCAGCAGCTTAAAATTAAAATTCAGGCTGCTACAAAAGACAAATGAAAATAGAAAAGAAATGCGACGATGTAACGGGTGGCTCACTGTGGGCTTTGGTTTTACACTCCTTCCTTGGCATCCTCCATGGCTCCTGTCAGTAACGGGCATCTTGCTCAGATGGACCTTAGGTCACTCGGTGAATTTCTTCCAGATGGTGCAGAGGGTTGGGGGCTGGACATGCAGGTGACTGGATGTGGGAAGTGGAGTGATGAGGGTGTCTATGGACCTACAAAATCAGCAGCTACCATTTTGGGGTGTTTCTAGGMGGTAACTTTGTGCCACTGAAATAACGGCCTTTCAAATGAAACTCCAGGTCTCAAATCTCATTTCCAGATAAAAAGAGGGGGAAAACTCTGAAAACACAGACTTCTGCAATCTCTGTTGTCATTTACTCACTTATACCCTCCTCACCTCCCAGACAGGAATTTCGGGAGTTTAAGTGATGGCAAGGAGGATAAGGTAAGGATTCTGTAGTAACAGCCCCATGGATTGCAAAGCAAACAGAAGATCAGAAGCATTGAGAGATTTCAACCTCAGCACAGAAGGAAAACAAAACAAAAGGTATGTGTTTATTTTAATGGCAGTAGCAATTTTGTGCTCTTATGTGAAAACAGTCAGGAATGTTTATAGTAGGAAAATAATCATGAGTCTAATAAATGAATAAGATAGGACAAGCCATGTTTTATTCAGTGTGGGAACCAAACACTGCCATATTGTACAGATTTACTGAACTGGAAGAATTGCACTTGCCCTGCAGAATGAAGCTCAAAAACTGAGTGCATGAATATGACAGTTTTTTGGATTTTTTTAATGTGGAGAATTTTTAAGACAGAAACATTGGCAAGTTTTCTAATGCATTCTGATCAACTTACATAAGTTCAAGAAATCTGCAATAGTTTATTATTCTGCTATATTTTCCAGTGGCTTTTGTGTTCTTTGCATGACATTTGACTCAGTAGAGTCAAATTGTACGCAACATTTAAATGACTCTGGTATAGAGTTTAACAATTACTTCATATTATGTGTATAGCAGAAAGCTAGGATGGTTTTTGACTATTCATTCTCTCTGTGTTGGTTACCTGAGGTTTGATGGGAAGTCTTACACAGTGAAAGGTTTGCCCTTGAACACAGAAGTTTTTAGAAAAGCTGTTCTCTCCCTGTTTATTTTCTTTATTATTATTATTGTCATTATTATTTTGTAAGTGGAAAAAGCCTCACTGAGCCTCTCCTGGCTGTAAATCCTGGAAGGCAAAAGTTTGGCAAAGAAAAGACAAAGCCCTACATTACAGCTTACCTCATATGAAGGTTGATTGCAGGTTGTTTTTATAGCACCATGTGCTGTGCAGGTAACAAGTATGATTTTATTTTCTAATGCTGTACCACTTAAATTTCCAGGAAACTGCTCTCTGCTGCTGAAAGTTGCTGCAGAGGTGATCATAGCACTGAGACAATTTTTGTTCTTGTCTTGTTGTCTTTATTAATTTCCAGTGTGCCATTTCAGCTGAAAATATGCAGTAGCTGTTAACGTATTCAGAAGTGTGATGCTGGCTAGATGGCTATTTATGTCACAGTAAATATTTGATTACGAGGGGTGTTATTTTTAGCTGTAGTCATAAAATTATGGAGATTTATAGGCTTRAAATATGGCATCTAACACACAATCGTTTGTTACCTTTACTGTTTCCTGAGTTTTTTCTTAGTTTTCCATTTTCCTTCATAATTTTAACCAGCGAAGTCGTGATTAAGAGAGCATTCATATTAACTGTTGCATATAAGCTGCCTATCGGGGGAAAATTGTCAAGGCTGAAATCCTGGTCCCATTCTGATGGCAGACACTGCAGCTGCTGAAGTAATAAACTCAGGAAGGTTGTATGAATATGTGAACGTACAAATGAATCTCAAAGACATGATTTTCGTATTCTTGCAATCACTGCTGTAGGAGTATATGACTGACAGCACAAAGGATTTCAATTTACTGTAGAAAAATGCAAATTGATAAGCCAGTAGACAGCTATCATTCTTCTTTTATTCTCTGTCTGTATCCCATGTCTTTCTCTGCTGGCATAATCAAAGCTGATATAGTGCATGGTATATCAAGTTAGATTTTTTTTGTAATTATAAGACAGTACGCAAGATCTGAGCATGTTATTCAGGAGAAGACACAAAGCTCACTGAAATACAGGTTTTCAGTGTGATTCTCTGATGAGACTGTTTTTTCTCGTAGATTCTTAATATTCAGTTTCTGTGTCTAGTATTTAAGATACTGAGCACTTTAAGATGGGCTAAGGCCAGTGGAGAAAAGGAGGGAGATTTTCCTTTTAAGCAGAAAAAAAAACCCTACAAAGCAAGAGATGTTAGTTTTCTCTCCCTCCATCCTCAACTGAGCCTAAAGCATTTTGTCTCCTCATACGTGTTTCTAAAGAAGTGTGCAGGGCAGCAGCAGATCTGGATGGATGGAAGAGGGAGAAGTATCTGGAACTAGGGAAATAAAGATGTAATCATGATCTGGAAAGACCCAAAGAAAAAATCAAGCCTCTTTTTAGTACTGCATGATGTGATGTACAACTTGTGTCATATGGGAAGGGGAGGCTGAAGGAGTCTTTTCCACTGATATATCTCACTAGGCTCAGCTGCCTCTGACTTTAATTGAAGGTTCATTGGATCTGAAGAAAATAGACCACAAGACATGCTACAGCTGTTAGAGTGCAGATGTTCCTGGAAGTCTCTTCTTCCTAAAAAATTCTGAAAATGTAAGGGAAAATCTGAACGCGTAAGTTACACATCTGTGACTTCAATATATATATTGAATATTCAGATCCCACTGGATTCAAATGAATGTGAAACTTGGAAGAAGGAAAATAAATGAAGCGCTCTGAGCTCTGGAGCTCTGGCAGGGATATACTGTGGATGTTCTGGACAAATCTCAGGGCTGTGTGCATCTTTCCATACACTTTGATGTAGAAATTCCCTAGTACCTCTTATTGGAAAAAAAGGAATAGTGAAGAGACAGAAATACAACACATGGATTTTGACATTAACCATATTAGATTGAAAAATAGTAGGAGAAACAGGACTTTAAATGAGGAAATAGCAGGAAATAGCATTTCTGGGCAGTGCTGATGCATAGGCYATAAGCCAATAAAGAGAGTAAATGGGATGAGCCATAGATTTAGTCTGTGAAATTTGGCAATGTAGTGTCATAGCTGGGCCAGAATGCAGTTCAAGGTCTTTCCGAAGTCCATCTGAAGCCCATCTGTGGGCCTTGTCCTAGCTCCCTCTGCAAGATGTGTAAGACCCCCACTTCACAGAGCGGTGGGAGGATGTATTTATGTCCATTGAGAACACTGTGCGGTTGCCAGCAGACAGCAGCAAGTACAAGCCCTAGCCATTCTTGAAGGCTGTAATATTTCACTTGACCTACAGCTCCCTACCCTCTTGCCTAACTGGATCCCCAGGGATAACACCATTGGCTCTGCACATTGGATCCAGACCCAGAGTTGTGGCCTAAAAACACAATTCCCATTAAAGTATAAACATAGTTCCTGAAATATCCCCTCTCACCCTACGTTGCCTCACCTCTTATTCACACAATGACCATGAGGGTGACAGCAAATGATTCTCTTCCATTCATTTTCAAAGTAGAGGTCTGCTCAAAAGGCAGGAGCTCCTCTGCTTATATACAGCTAGAGAGGCAATTTCAAAGAGGCAGAACTGATTAATTTTTATTTATCTTCAAGCAATTAACTGTGGTACCAAAATTAGGAGCCTGGTTGTGCTAAATTGCCTCCACAGTTGATAGAGGAAGAGAACAGCTTCTGAACAGAGATTTAGATCTTAGGTGCCCTTTGCAAGTGCCTGTTTCCTGATGCAGGCAGTAGCTGATTTCAAAATCTCATCATTTTAAATGCTTCCAGTTAAGAAGTGTGAACCCAGCACTCCTCACAGCGATGAGGAGATGCGAGGGAAGGTAGCGCTGGTTATGCAGCCCTGTCAAACTGGGAGATCTTGTTTTGTGGCAACTCATGTAGCTACAACAGACAGAAAAGAGTACTAGTATTTGTGGCTAGAACCTGGCAATAAGGAAGCACGTTGAATTACTTAAAATTTTAGTGAGAGCGGTTGTCTGGAATACTCCTTGAGATCAGTCCCAGGTAGAGTCCCAACACTTCTTGTGCTGTTTAAATCTTTCAGCTGAGGACATTTGATGTATTGCCCCTGTTACTGCAGGAATTTTCACCAGAGACTGGCTTTCAGGGGGATTATGGGGAATATTTCGGGAAAGAAGAGAAATTTCTATGTAATTCTTGCAGTGCAGACATAGGAGCTGCCCAAATTGACATTGCCAAATTATTTTGCAAAAGTAACTGAAAAAAACTCTGAAATAACTATACTGACTTACTCTGAGCACAGGTTAGTTTCAAATGCATTAAGAAAAGACTCAAAATCTTATTACAAGTTTCCTAGGCCATCTAATACAGAGGACATGCATGCCAAAAGTGCATTTACTGGACTATTTTCTTAACAGGGTCATTATGTTTCCTTCAGGTAATCCTTAAAGAAAGGGTTTATTTCTTCCCACTTCTTATTTGTTTCTCTARCAGGAACGGACCTTTGGGAGCATCTTAGGACTGAAAGTGCAGCAAAATCATCCTCTGGAATGTGTGTGATGGGTGTTGGTTAAATATTCCTTGAGAATTTGCTTTTAAAATGCATTTTGGTTACAAAATAAACCTGAATGAGCCATTATACTCTGCTGTGTAATTATGTATTTAGGACACATGCTACATGCAGTTTTAAAAGAAATCTGTATGGAAACAAATTGCATTACATTTGCAATAGCTGAATGCAGTTCAACAGCAACACCTCAAGCCTTTCAAAATACTGAAGTAATTTAGACTATTTTCTGGAGCAATTATCTCCCATGCCTCAGATTCCTATTTTATTGCTTTCACTGAAAAGAAGCGGTATAGGACTCAATACAGAATAAAAGATGGGGGCTCAACTGTACASGAACATTGCTGTTGGTTTAGGTTCCTGTATGATGTTGCAAGGTTAATGAGGAGCAGGGGTATTAGGTAGGGGACAAGTTGCCATTGAATTGATCTGAGACAAGGGTGTGCCTATGTGTCTGGCCAAAAGCATGGAAAGGTCTCTGGCTTCTTTATTTTAGGGATTCAGACTAACACTAGAGCAGTGTTGTTTACTGCTCATTAAACCACCCCCCTCGCCAGCTCTCACTGCTGTATTACCATGCAGTGCCACATATTTTTCCTCTTTAACTGGTACTTGGCAAAACACCGGCATCGGAAGGGGCTGATCCTTGGAAACAGCTGCGTGCTGCCGAAATGGCAGCAGAGGCCTGCAAGGAAGCTGCGCGCCTGCCTGGGCCGGTGGCGCGGAGCCGTGTGTGCTTTGCTGCCCCGAGACAGCAGCTCCCGCGCTAAATCCACAAAACCCCTCTCCTGGTACAGTACAGCTGGAAACGCTAAGAGCCGCAYGTATTGGCATTGGCAGGTATAAACAGAGCTGCAGTAAATGAGCTAAGTGCTTTGAGCGTTTGGGGGTGTGGGGGGAGATGTTGTTTTTCCTTTTCTGGAGCTGAGCACTCCAGAGACTTGTGTTAAACTTGGGACTCCTTAGATCCTCACACTGGCTCTGCCACTTATTTATTGTTTGGCCTCAGGCTAGTCACTTAACCTCTTGCCGCCCTAATTTCCCCGTCTAGAAAATTATATTTACTTACTTCTCCTGGGGATTGTGCAGGGCTTAATGAATGCCTGTAAGGGGATTTGGAGCTCCTCAGATCTGAGATGATAGAGGACTGCAAAGTATTCCTCATGCGTGCAAGAAAGCGGGAGCGTGCGCGTGCCCACGTACGTGTGTCTGAAGGCATTCCTGGCCTGTCTGAAAGCGTAATCAGCAGGGGAGGGCTGCACTGCGTGCCTGCGGATGAACTTCTCTTCCTTGTGGCCTTTTCAGGCGTGCTGGAAGAAAGAGAAGGTGAGAGAATGAAAGGAGAGGGGGACGGCAAAGTCTAACTTTCCTCCCGTTGGTCCCCTGGATCTTCGTGTCAGGGCGATACAGGCTGGATCTCCTGGGAAGGTAGTGATCTTTCTGGGAACTCCATCTTGCTGCAGGCTATTAGTGAAGCCATGCGGCCCCTTGGCTGCCCACTTCTTTAGCAGGAAAAAAATGAATCTCTAGTCAAAAGAAAAAGAAAAAAAAGAGAAAGAAAAAAGGCACATCCATATAATTAAGCAGCATTAGAATGAGGCCTGTGCTTTTGCTGATGAACTTCAGTGAAAGCAGATGGTCACAATGGTATTAAAAACTAAAGACTTCAGTCAAGCTTTTAATTGAAAACAATTGGACCCTGCTGGATGGTAATTACCTTGGCTGCTTGCAAATAATATCACAGCACTGCTACCTATGAAGGAAAAGCTGAAACTGAGTTAATAAGAACTGCTTGATCTGCATATAATAAACAAGGAGCATCCAAAACTATTTTTCCTGGTAGCTTTTCCCCTGCAAGGTGCTTTCAAGCAGTTAGCAGTGTGAAAAGACACAAACGGGGGCAGAAATTGAAAACTGTAAAGCAGTAGCTGGGTTCATAAAACACCGTGAAGAGCCTGTCTTCCCCTCAGGTCCCTTTTAACAGTCGAAATCCCAGGCAGGGCAAAGAAAAACGGCAAAACAAAATAAAGTGACAAAGCTCTAGATTATCTAGTGTTCTTACTCCTTGAATGATAATAATAGTGGCAGTCTGTCTTTATGTTGTTTTATCYGCTCTGTCCTTATCTTGGCTGATTGACTGAAAGGCTGGGACCTTCTAAATGTTCAGAGGTTTATTTTTTCGGTTCTTAATTGGATTTTAATGATCTTTAACTTAACATGTCTCAATCTCTAAAAAAATAAAYGCACTTTGTGTCACATTTTCTTCAGTGTTTCTGTAAGTGATTTGATAATTTTCTCACTTCTAGTTCTGTATGCAATGCTCAGATAAGATTTCTAAGGCTAGCCCACCTAAAGTGTTCCATAAAATCCTAGTAACTGCTGTTTGCTCTATATTTGTTGACACACAACATAACATTAATACCACTTTTCACTGTCTTTCTTGCTGAGGAAAATGACTTACATTGTTGTGTGTGTCAAGGGGAAAAAAAAAGTCTTTATGTATCTTTCAAACTTGCATCATGACTGTGGATAAAATGAACTTAATTTAGTCACTTTCCACGTACACATTATTTTTCATGTGGCGTACTCTTAGGTATATCTTTTTGTCCCCTTATGAACAGGCAAGAAACTCTGTTGCTCTTGAAGACCTTAGTGAGTAGCAGCTGCTGCAATTTTGCAAAATTAATGAGTAACTGTGAGCTGCTAGTAAAAGTGATGCAATGATTTTCCATAACATATCATTTTGGAAGCAATGACTTTACCTGCTCTTTCTTTTCTTATCCAAATATTTGTCTTTTCAAGGCACCAGCCAAGAATTTGTCTCRTCTTGTCTGGCAGAGTGATGAAAAGGACTTTTCCAGTATGTTTCATCCAAATGTGATGATTTTATGCGTATARTTCAACTTTCATTCACTGAACTTACATGGTTAACAAAGAGTGGAATCCTGGACTCATGGAAGTCGGTAGAACTTTTCACACYGACTTCAGTTGGTGATTTTGCTTATTTTTACCTAGACAAAACCTGTTGTTAGTTTTATTGATGTCATGCTTCTGAAACTTCTGGTGGAGCTCAGCAACAAGACATAAATATATCTCAGAGAATAAAATTAGATCTTCTTAATTAGTTTACACTACTATCTTAGTTGATATAGCCTAATTTATATTCAGGAATTCCTGGATATCTTATCTCAAGTGAGAAGTCTCACCTTTCCAAAGCTCATGGAGGGCAGGTCGGTGGTTGACAGGGCAGACATCCTTCCCTGACTGCTGGACTTTTTGCTCAAGTTGACACCAGAATTTGAGCAGAACTTTGCTCACAGCTTTTCTAGTTAATACCTTATCCTACTGAAGTTTCAAAGAGCCCAGAATTTGATATGCTTTTGTATATATAGGATAACAACCGCCCAGCCCCTTAATTATCGAAGAATTTTTGACAGATTTGAAACTAGGAAGGCCACTTTTCACAAGTATCTTAAGCTACTGACTGCAGTAATTTATCAATTTTGTAATAGCTGCTTACTTTTACCTCTATAGAACATGATCATATATTCTAATTGCTGCTTGCAACTTCAAGTGAGGTGGTATGGAGCATATTATTTTAAAGGTATATGTAAAGGCATAAGCTCTATTGATCTATGGTATTCTGAGCGATAAACAGCTGCTAGGTTTGATTAAAGCTGAAGGGAAGCTGAAGCATTTAATCAATCTCAAAAGATGCTGAGTATTACAAAGCAATTGTGATTATTGCTATTATATGACAAGCTATAGCATAATAAAGGAAGTGACATCGTTTTTCTTGGAGGCACTTAGAAGTCTTTTGGTGCTTCTTTTCAGTCTTCCTGATGCAGCTTGGGAGCATGGCAAAATGACAGAGTGTGCCAGCTAAGGCAGAGTAATACCAAAGGGAAAAAGCTCAGAACAGCTCTGCAAGAGCAGGCCCTCTCAGCTCACCAGCATCTTGTTTTCCCAGCATAGAGCTGTGACCAGCAGCGAGTGCTTAGGGAAGGTGTACAAGAAACACAGCAAATACACAGTATATTTTATGATGCTGTCCAAATTGCAATCCTCCCTGCTTTTGGTAATCTCTGCTTTCAGGACATCTGTACTGTGCACTGTAGGATAYAACCATGCATTTTTGTGTCTAGGGACCCTAGATGGTCCTTTCCCCGCCCCCCATTGTTTTGTTTAATTACTTCTTGAACCTTTTTATTGTCTTAGCCTTCAAAACACCTTGTTGCAGTACATTGTACATTCTGTCACATGGCTTTGTGAAATAGAACTTTCATTGTTCTTGTTTTTGAACATTTTGCTTGATGATAGTTCAGCATATTCTTATTCTTGTGTTACAATAAGCAGAGAACAGTTGTTCAGTGCTCATCTTTGCAGTACAATTCATAACACAGAGATCTCTGCCTCATTGTGTTCAGCTCTGCCTGTATTTTCCATGGTTTTGTTTAATTAGTATCTCCCTTTTCCAAAGTTGACCAAGACCCACGTTTGCATCACATCCTTGTCCTCTCTATTGCTTTCCTCGTTCCACTGTGTGCTTTTTGAGATGGAATAACCAGAATTTTTTCATAAGATATCTTAAGACGGGATCTTCTGCATATCTGGTAGGGCTTCCTTTTTTAGGTATTGAATGATCTATAGCTATTAGACAGGTTAGAGGCAATGTGTGTTATGTAATTCTGAAGACAGGGATGTAAGTAAAGGGGGATTTTTAAAAGCTAAGAAGCTGTGTCTAACATTTGTTTGATGTTAAATTTGAAATATAAAACTAGAAACTCCATAAATAAGGTAAGACTTTTTCCCTAAAAAAAAGGAGTTAAATTAATAAATATGTTTATTAAAAAACAAGAAAAAGTTTCCCGCTGTCATATCTGCAAGAAGAGATTTACAGCAGTCATGCCTGAAACAGGATGGTGTTTACAAAGGCTAACTTTGGCTGCAGATGGCTAGCGTTAGTTCTCTAAATCATTTCTTCAGTGTTTCTCCACAGAATATAGAGAAAAACTAACTTCGATTGGCCATAATTGAATTACCTCTCAAAACTGGAAAG